TTCTATGTATGGCTGGAAAGAAGTCGAGTAACATTAATTGATCCAATAAGCCTAGAGGTGCTTACTTAACCCTACAAAAAGATATGAGAGAGTAAAGTTTATGAAAATTCGGTGTTTTTGATCAAACGTCAAACGTTTTACGTAGCGCCGTGGAATCGCTACTTTTATGTCAACATGTATATGTAATTACTGTATACACATATATTTTTGAATATATACTAAAATATAGTAGAGTATACAGTATGTCATTTTATATTGAATAGTTTGTATAAATTTATGTTGTAAATTTATACATTTGAACAACAATATAGATGCGATTTCGATATTCTTCTTTGCATGTTTTATTGTATCTTCCAATGTTAGAGTTTTCAAACTTAAAAAATCATAGTTGTTGTTATTATTGTATGTATCAGGCAAATATTTTGTATTATAAATTTGTACAATAAGTTTTTAGTAATATCATTTATGTAAGTTCGTGTTATAACTATATATATATATATATATATATATATATATATATATATATATATATATATATATATATATATATATATATATATATATATATATATATATATATATATATATATATATATATGTATATATATATATATATATATATATATATATATATATATATATATATATATATATATATATATTACCATAAGTGCGAACTAGCATTAGTGCGAAGGACGTACAAAAACTGGAATAAGTGCAAACTAGCATAAGTGCAAATTGGCATATGTGCGCCCAATAAATTTTCAAACATCGTTATAAGTGCGAATCGGTACAATTGCGAGTTGGCAGAAGTGCGAAGCAGTTACAAAAACTGCCATAAGTACGAACTGGCATAAGTGCGAATTGGAATAAGTGCGCCAAATAAATTTGTAAACATTGGCATAAGTGAAAACTGGCATAAGTACGAATCGGCATAAATGCGAAATACTAGTTTGCACTTATGCCAGTAATTGAAAATTTAATTTGTGCTCTTATGCCTAATCGCACTTATGTCAGTTCGCACTTGTGCCAGTTTTAGTAACTGCTTTGCACTTATGCCAGTTCGCACTTATGTCAATTTACACTTATGCTAATATTTGCAAATTTATTCGGCGCATTTATGCCAATTCGCAGTTATGCCAGTTTGCACTTATGCCAGTGTTTTTAACTGACTTGCACTTATGCCAGTTCGCATATATATCAGTTCGCACTTATACCAATGTTTACAAATTTGTTCGGCGCAGTTATGCCAATTTGCACTTTTGTCGGTTCGCACTTGGGCCAGTTTTTTCAACTGTTTTGCACTTATGCCAATGTCTGCAAAATCTTTTTGCGCAATTATACTTAGAATTCCAATACTTTTTTGTATTTTGTTGTCAATATAAGCAATATGTATATTCCAGGATATATTTTTTGTCAATGAGCACACCAAAAAACTTCTTTTTTTTCACGACTAATTTCGGTGTTTTTATTAGTGTACGGCCGTGGCGCAGTGGTTAGAGCGCTTGTTACAATAAGGAAAAAGGCATGAACTTCCTGGTTAAATGCACTTCCGCGGTGCTTTGTGATAAGATCTCTTAATTTTATTTTAAGGATGAAATAAAGAAAATTTTGTTCTATCCGAATTAATTGAGAGTTTATTTGCTTTAAACCATGTTTAAATGTTTACTAGCTCATCGTTCATTTGTACGAAGAGTTTATGTATATCTTTACCTGAGATAAAAAGGTTATTGTCATCGGCAAACGTTATTGTTGATATGTTTAACGCTCTCCAGAGATCATTTACATTTATAAGAAAAAGTAGAGGTCCAATAATCGATTCCTGGGACACTCCACAAGACATCAAAGATAAACTCGAATGCTTATTATTTACATAATTTATGGATTGTGTTCAGTTACTAAGGTAGTCTGCTATCCACTTGTTTGATATGCCTCTTATACCATACATATTAGGCTTTTCAACAAGTATCCCGTGATTCATAGTATCAAACGCCTTGAAGAGATCAATAAATACGCCTAAAATAAATTCTCTGTTTACAAAAGAATTTTTTATTTCATTGATTAAGTATAGTACTGCATGCTCACTTCAAGTGTTTTTTTGAAATCCAAACTGTCTAGAATAAAATAAATCATTATCTTTAAAAAAGATATTAATTCTATTGAACATAAATCCTTCAAAAATCTTAGAAAAAATGGAAAGTATTGATATTCGTCCATAATTACCAATATAGGTTTTATCACCTGCTTTAAATATAAGTTTAAATCTTGCTGATTTAAATATTTCAGGGAAAACGCCTTAATTCAATGAACATATACAAATCTTAAATAAAGGCAATTTTAATTGATTATAGTAGTCAACTACAATGCTGCCATTTACGTCATCAAGTCCAAGCTGTTGAAGATCTTCCGCGTTTTTTTTTTTTTATATTAACAAAAAAGTCTTAGTTTTATCTTTTATTTATTATAATATTATATTATTATATATATATATATATATATATATATATATATATATATATATATATATATATATATATATATATATATATATATATATATATATAAAGTCAAGTGCATATATAGTTAATCACATTTAAGTACATGTTCTTATAAATATTCAACTGAATCAACATAAACTAAAATAATACATCAAATTAATAACGTTTAAAAATATGACAATATATCATTATGTGACAAAATGATTTCTTTATGCTTATTTCTGAATGAAAAATTACTCCAATGCAGAGAAAAATTAAAATGTTTTAAAACTATTTTGTTCCAAAGAAAAGCTCCTCGGAAAGAAATACTAGATTTTCCAAAATTAGTCTGAAAAAATGGTTGACGAATTAAATTATCATTTCTTAAGTTGTATTTATTTTTATATTTCAGCGTGTATAAATTATGAAAAGAAACTGGGGAAGAGTTAATTTTACATTTAAACATAAAACAAAGAATATTAAAAACATTCAGCTCATATATATTAAGAATTTTAATTTCAAATAAAAGAGGCTTGGCATCAGTAAATCTGTTTTTAAAATTAATAAGACGAGCAGCATGCTTCTGTTGGCGATAAAGAGGCTCCAGTATACATTTATTGGCATTGCACCAAGCAATATTTGCATAGTTTAAATGACATTGGATAAAAAAGAAATATAATTAAATTAGAATACGTTTATTTAACACACCTCTAGCTTTATACAATATTCCTATACTTTTAACAATTTTATTACACAAGAATTCAATGTGGTATTTCCAAATAAGGTTTTCATCAAGATAGATACCTAAAAAATTAGCACTAATTATTCTTTTTATTTGGATTTTATCAATAAAAAGTAAAGGTAGTTAACAAGGAAGTAGTTTTTTTATAGATGCAGGATGAAAAAGTGTCCATTTTGTTTTTTCAACATTTTTTGAAAGTTTATTCATTTTAAACCAATCGTATATTTTTGTTAATTCCATGTTCATATCTTGAAATAATGTAGTTATGCTATTATCAGACAAAAAGAGGTTAGTGTCATCGGCAAACATGACTGACATCAAATTAGAAGCTTTATGAAGATCATTAATATAAATGAGAAAGAGAAGGGGTCCTAATATCGAGCCCTGCGGAACCCCACAGGTTATGTTTAATAAATTAGATGTGTTAACTTCATTACTATAAACAAACTGTTTGCGGTTACTTAAGTAACTTTAAAGTAACTATTAAACATTTCCTTTAATTCCATAATATTTAACTTTTTTAAGGAGAATTCGGTGATCGATCGATCAAAAGCTTTTGATAAATCTATGAAAACTCCCACCGTATATTGGGAATTTACAAACGATTCAGAAATACTACGAGTTATATGGAGTATCGCGTGTTCTGTTGATGTATTTTTTTTGAACCCGTATTGATTTGTATAAAGTATATTATTTAAAGAAAGGTGATTATAAATTACGTAATATAGGATTCTCTCTAACTCTGTAGAAAAAACAGGTAAAACAGAGATTGGTCGATAATTTGTAAGATTTTTAGTATCACCTTCTTTGAAAATTGTTATGACTTTGGCTATTTTAAGATAGTCTGGAAATATTCTCTGTTTTATTGAACAGTGTAAAACTTTAAATAGTATATCTTTTAAATGTTCATACGAGTCAATGACCACATTACTATATATACCGTCGTGACCGACAGATTTATTAGACTTAAGCATTTTAAAAGATTGCTTAAAGTCTTTAAAAGATAATTCAAAGGAAGTTAGAGACATAGTTAATTGAAAATCGAAGTTATCTATTTTGTTTACCACAAAAGGAATTTTTTTTGCAAGATTTAGGCCAACTGATACAAAGAAATTACTTAATTCATCACACATCATTGTTGGATTGGACAAAAATTCATCATTAATTTTTAAGATTACAGGCAGTGTTCATGGGAAGTATTGCATGGTAAGCAAAAGATGTGAATACCAAAGCTTTCTGCCTTTTCAACTATTCTAATATTGATATGGGTGCAGCACTATCAATAATTAACAGAATATCTCCACTTGTTTCATATTTATCGAAGTGGTCAAGCCGTAAAAGAAAGGATTTGATGGTCATTGACCCCTCCTCCGCCATTAATGCAGTTGAACCAGGAGGCAAATTGTTACTGAATTCACTCTTCAGTCGAATACCTTTCAAAAGCACCATTGGAGGTATAACACACCCTATAGCATTAGCACAGCCAACCACAGTCACATTTACCGCATGTTCCTGAGCAATAAGATGAACTCTCTTCGCTCCGTGTTGTGCTAAAACAGCTTGCTGGTAATGAACGGTAAGTCTGACTCCCTTTTCATCCATGTTGTAGAGCCTTTTTGGAGTATAAAAAAAAAGCCATGAAATATCATTAGTTTATCTATTTTGGCAAAATAGTCCTTAACAATATAGGGATTTATTTTTTGTGCCATTGCTGGGTTTATAAACTGCGCCATTCGGCAGCAAACTTTTGAGTAACGTTTTAATAAATTATTACACCAGTCTCTACCAACCAGCTTTTCGTTGACATTGAAGCTATGATTAATATTGTTTGGTTCCACAAACTCAAAAACATGCCCTTAAGAGTTTTGGTGTTGTTGGCATGCCAATGTCTTTTTGAAAATTCTTAACATCAGCTTTTGCTCCTGCTCACTAGAAAACGTAGTTTTTCTCCCTAAAGACTATTTTGGGATCCTGTACTTAAGTAATTTCGTAGAGTTCTACGTGAAATTTTGTATTTTATGGCAGCCTCTCTTTGCGATAATCCATTTTAAACAGCTTGGAGAGCCTCCTGCAATTGACCTTCTGTCCAATTAGTTCTACTTTTTCCATTAGCAGTTGCTATTTCCAAAGACAATAATTGAAAACTAAAAGTAAAAAAAAATCTTTTTTTTAATATATAGTTTTTAAATCTATAATAAATAGTATTTAAATTTTCTTGACCAAGAGTTCGTTCCTCCGCAAAGCAATTAGCTTGAGGATAAACCACAATACCTTCATATTAGGTGAAAGAAAATATTATAAAAAGGTGTTTTGTGTTGTCTTTGGCGTAAAATAATTATCAAATTTGACTTGAAGTATTTAAAGTGTTACAATCCCTCGATAATTAAATTTTAAAAACGTTTTTTTAAAAGTTATGATATATTAATTTTCCTAAACATAAAATACTAAAAAAAAAAATAGACTTCACGCCACAATGGGGTACAAAAGATCTTAGAAAAAGTTTAAAATTTAAACAAAAGTTGTATATAAATAATTTAAAAATAAGAGTATTAGAAACTAAAACAATTTATAAGAGTTACGCTAAAAAGTTTAAAATGCGAAGAAAAAAATTAATAAAATTGTACTACATAAATTTACTATAAAAGTATAAAGAGTACAAAACAAACATGGCAAGTTTTAAGGGAAATTGAAAACTAGCTCTTTTCCTAAATCTATTAAAATTGATAATAAAATATTTTATGATCCAAGAGAGATAGCTGATAAAATCAATGAATTCTTTACTTACAATTTGACCAAATTTAGCAAAAAAAATTTCAAACATAAACAAAATAAACAGATGTAGTTTTCCTTTAGTATCTTCAAACATAAACAAAATAAACAGATGTAGTTTTCTTTTAATATCTTTTCTAAAGTCTTTTGAACTGTCTTTTGATAAATTTGATAGAGCTTTTAAAATGCTAAAGTTAAATAAAGCAGTCGGTCCTGATGATTTTAATGGAAACATTGTTATTGATTTATATGATATCTTAAAAAATATCCTTTTTAAAATATTTAAAAACTCAATTCAATAAGGAATTTTTCCTGATGAATTAAAAATAGCCAAAGTTTTACCTGATGAATTAAAAATAGCTAAAGTTTCACCTGATGAATTAAAAATAGCTAAAGTTTCAAAGTTTTTCAAGGTGGAGACTTACTTAATGTTAGAAATACGATCCAATGCTCTCTTTGTTTTTACGAAAATTATAGAGAGAATTCTTTATAACAAAATTTTTAATCATCTTCCTCAAAATCTTATCCTATACAAAAATTAATATGGATTTAAAAAATATAACTCAACTGAACACGCTATACTCCATATATAAATAAATATATATATATATATATATATATATATATATATATATATATATATATATATATATATATATATATATATATATATTCAATTCTTTATTTTTTTCTATCTTTCCCATTTTTGTTAACTGTAAGTAAAGGAAAAAATTATAACTACCTGAAAAGAAACATTAATCTTTTCAATAATAATTAATTAGCTATATGAGCAAAGTTTTAAAATGTTAAAAATGCTAAAAATAGGCATTAAAAAATTCAGGTACAGGTAAATTTGTCATTTGTTGTCACATCCAATCCATGTGTGTGACATCTGTTGCTTTCTGTACTCCACAGACATAACATCCACAGACGTGACAAATTGAAGGAAAAAACCTAAAAGGAGTGTTGTGTTTTAAGGCTTGGACTCTGTTCCCCTTGGAGTAAATATACCAAGGTAATTGCTATTAAACAAAAGTATTACTTATAAAAAATAAAATTATTTACCCCGAGTATGTTAGCCACAGATGTGACGCACTAAGATTAACAAATTCAACTTTTAAAACTTCAACACTTATCAGCACTAAACAACTAAACCAAAAATTCCCCCACTATTACTCTAATAAAAATGTCTGATAGTTTAGCTAAAACTGCAACATAGAGAACTACTGCTGCCTCCTAGAGCTTTTTTTTTGAATTAACAACTCTATCTACAGACGTGACATTTAAGGTGGTGACAAGAGTTTCAATTACATAAAAGTTACTTTAAAAATATGTTTTGAGGAAAATATTATGTCAACTCTAATTTTAAAGTATTCTTGATTATTTATTATATATTAAAATAAAAGTAAAGTACCAGCAACAAAGTTTAAACTTCTTGGGATTAGCAAAAAGTCTGGGTTGTGACATTCCAAGGACGTGACTTGTCACAGTCTGTGGAACATTATTTATTCACTGAAAATACTATTTTAGATTGGTTTTCATCAGTTTAACATTGTATAAGCTGTATATTTGTTATTTGCACCGGTTTAAAGTAAAAATAATATTAACTTCAAAAAAAAATTAGTAGGGACAGTACAATGCTACTTTTTTGGAAAATGATATATATATATATATATATATATATATATATATATATATATATATATATATATATATATATATATATATATATATATATATATATATATATATATATATACCGTGGATAGCCACCAAAAGTCGGTTGCAGAAAAATAAAAGTTATCTTAAAGAAAATAAATTTTATTTTGTTATACCGTAATATTAAGAAAATTTAACTTAAGATTTTTAAAAAATAAAAGCAAAAAAAATGTAAAAAATTAAATAGGACTTTCTATTAAAAAAATTGACTGCCAGCCCATACCCTCAGTCAATGCATGTATACTCAGCTGCGCCTATCCATAATTTTTTTTTTTTCTAATTTTAATTCACCTCCTCAAGGCCGAGAGGGCCACTACAGACGAGGAGGCTACTTATTTGTGGTTATAACCCTCTCTCAACTCTATAACTCCGAAACACGAACCTTGACGAGCAAGGCCGCTGCGCGGAGAAACGAGTTGAGCGCGGTACTACCAAGGACGTGGTGGGGATCGAACTCGGAACCACTCGTTTATGAAGCGAGCGCTCTACCACTACACCACTACCGCATTAGTAAATGTGTGTACACTTAACTGCACCTATCCCTAAATTAGTAATTGTAATTTAAATTTAATAATTAGTAATTGTAATGTAATATAATTGTACTTGAAATATACACACACACACACACACACACACACACACACACACACACACACACACACATATATATATATATATATATATATATATATTTATATATATATATATATATATATATATATATATTTATATATGTCTAATAACATCACACACACATATATGTGTGTGTGTATGTATTCAAATTTATTTTTATTCAATTCAAAGGTATATGTAACATTGCATGCCATACTGCTGCTGCTTGTATTATCAAAACTTGTGTTTGTAACCTCACGTTTAACAGTGATACTGTTCAAAACTGTTCAGGTATATATTATGATCATAACTACTCAGTGCAAAAACTGGACAATTCATTGCAAAAGTTACCAAATACCCCTATATTTTTACTAATTAATTAACCAAAATAAATCTAAAAGAGTTAATTTGTGTAAGAATTAATTTGTGTAATTTACAAACATAAATTAAATAAGTTGAGATTTTTAACTTCCACTGTTTCAATTGGTAAATTGTTTCAGAACTTGACTGTGTGATTTGTAAAAAAACCTTCACGATTTCGGTTTAAATATTTTTTATCAGTGAATAAATGATGTTTATTACCTCGAATGTTTGAACACCAGAAGAATTTAAATGAGTACAAATCTCTCTAATGTGGAGAGAAAAACTGAGTTAAAAGAGACACGGAGATTATACAAAACAACACTTGATTATACAAAAACATTGTCATTCTCAGACCTTGCAACCTTTTTTTCAAAAAATCTTAAGATTCATTAAAAAAACACCTTGACATTATCATAAAAGCCTGGATACATGTAAATAAATTAAAGAAAAAGTTCTTTCTTTTAAACAAGAAAAATTAAAATAATCTAAATTATTTGTTTTGTTTATAATTGCAAGTTTATGTTGCTTTCTTTGAGGTTTTCAACCCTGTTTAGGCAGTTTCTTTTCTTTTTTATGATGCTAAACAACCTTTCCAACTCAGCATTACTGTGAGAAGTTTTATTCTTAAGGTATCTGAAAAGATTTTTGATGATATTGGACAGAATAGACATTTTATGGTACCTTATTTCATAAATGGCTATTTTAAATATTTGTGTTAAATGTTTCAAATTGTTACCAAAATCAGCTAAGATTGTCCTTATTATTCAATAATAATCATTAAAATTATTATTCGAAAATCTCATCCTTAGCCTTTTTAAAGCATTATCATCAAAATCATTGCTCTGGTCTTTATGTCGACTATGTTGAGCTAAATTTGCTTTTATATTTTTGTAATCTTAAGATATTTATGCTCTTGGGAAGTTAACTTTTTCACCTTTATTTGCTGAGTCAGCAATAATTTTTTTTCAAATTAAAAAAATTTTGCAATACATCTCAGATTTTTATCTAGAATTCTTAAAAGGTATTTATTATGTGTAAAATATAAGAAAATAGAAATAATGGCTGGATACCACCTTAATGGTATCCAGTCATTATTTCTATTTTCTATTGTGGTATCCAGCCATTAAAGAAATAATGGCTGGATACCACAACCAAGCCTTTAAATTTTTTTTGTTTTATCTTATATTTTACATTCTTAAGTTTTTTAACATTTCTTATTATTATCAATATTTTATGTTTTTTTTAATTCACATTGCATATTCAAATTACCCCCTCCCACCTTTATTTTGCCTCTGCATTTGTAATCCTAATATCCATATTTAATTGTCCAAACTGAATCGTCTGCGACAAAATATGTGACAAGTTTTCTGTGACGCCTCATCTGCAATGAATTGTCCAGTTACCAATGGTTGCATAATTAGGTTTTGTATAAGATTTTTGTTTTAGATGTTTGTGAAAATAAATGCTATCCTGATTCTACTTGCATCAGCAAAACTTGCACTTGTAAAAGAGATTTAATTGGTACTTCATTTGATGACTGTTCTGGTACGTGGTATGGTTTAAATATTATTAACTAGTAAATAATAGAGTAAATACTTTTAACTAGTTACAATTTTATGAAATTGTCTTTCTGAAAAAAACTTAATGTATAAATAAAAATAAAAGCAATATGTTTTATTTTTGAAGCTATTTGTACAAACACCTGCCCAACAAATGCTAGTTGCATTGTTACAACTTGTAATTGTAAAGTTGGAGTTGCTGGTAATGACATTAGTAATTGCTCAGGTATTCAGCATTTTTTAATGCATTGTTTATGACAACATATTAAATTTATTTGTTTATTTAGTTATTTAAAATTCAACATAAAGATCCTAAGACCGTTAATACTGCAGTATATGTTAAAATAATTGTTATAATCAAGAGTTATAATTATATCTGATATTTAATTTATGTTTTGTCAAATAAAGTATTGGGATAAACAAAGTAAAATACATAATAATATAAAATTTAATATAAAATCATAACTCAAGATCAGCAAGAATGAGACAAATATCAATACAGATTATGCTAATCCTACATTAAGCTTTGAATAAAATATGTTAATTAAATTTCAGGGAGTATCAATGATCAACTTATAAGATTTGTTAACGTAAGCAAGTTCATGATTATTTATGTCATAAGCATGAATTTTTATTCTAATTAGCAATTGTATAAACAAATGATTTTTAATTGTACTAAAAGTTTTTAAGCGTAAATTCCTTTGTAAAGACAAATAACAGCTGAAATAATAATAAGTTCAAACTGCGATCTTCATTCATCATAAATGAAACACATTTTAACACTGTCAGTAAAATCTTCAAGTTTAACATCTAGCTTTCTATGTATGTTCTTGATATGATTGGTAAATAATAAGTTCAATCATAAAACTTATAAGAATGTTAGCACTGTGTTTATGAATAAAACCGTATTGCTCTTTGTTTAAAAAGAGCAATACAGTTATTGATTAACTAGGTTATTGAAAAAAATTTAATTTATGAGTTTGTTATAAAGAATTTTTATTTCTATATTTTATTTCCGACGGAAAAAACACAATAAACAAACAGTTCTATTTGTGTTAATAAGGTAATAATAAGAAAAAAAAGTTCACGACCCAGAGGTAACCCACTGTTTTAGGGTGGTAACCCTCTTATCAAAGAAATTGAAGTTGGTGTATTGATGAGAGTTGATTTGGTTTAGTTTCACTCTTAAAATGCCACCAAAAAATTCAGCCATAAATATGTTTCTACAAGAAATGCAAGAAAAAATCAAGCAATTAAAGAAAAAAATTAACGAGAAAGATGTTTTGATAAAAAATTTTGAAGGAAGGGTGAATGAATTAGAAAATAAATTAGACCAAGATAAATCAAAAGATTTAAATAATTGGAGTGAAGTCGTAAAAAGAAAAGTTAAAACAAATCAAAGTCAAAATGAAATTATAAACACAGTTCTCCATGAGGAAAAAGAACGCAATAAAAGAAAAAATAATATTATAATTTTTGGTGTTAAATTAGCAAATCATGATAATATTGACAAGAAAAAATTTGATGAAGATATGGTAAACGATATTTTTGATTCAATAAATGCAGACAAGAACAAAATAAAAAAAGTCATCTGACTCAAAACAAGAGACACTTCAAAAATACCACCAGTTATCATTGAGTTAGACGATGCGTCAGACAAAATAAGTGTATTAAGAGCTGCATGCATTAACAGAAACAAGATAAACAAAATTTATTTTAACTCAGATATGACAGAATCAGAAAAAGATCTCTTTAAACAGCTACGTAGTGAAGTTAAATTTTTAAATGCTAGCCTAAATCAAAACGATGAATACTACTACACTATAAGAAATTTTAAAATTGTGAAACTCATAAAAAAACCAAAGCAATAGCAATCATCATTTAATTTGAATCAACCTGCACTAATGGCTGTCCTTTCAACATATAATCCTGTATCTAATTCAGTTCTAAATGCTAATAAAGACTGCCTTCTATCTGATAGTTTAATGATAAAAGATGTACATAATAGGAAAGTTGGTCTTTCAAATGTTTGTGATTTAGATTTAGATCGACATAGAAATGATGGTTTATCAAATAATTTAGTGATATTGAACGAAAATTCTACAGCATTGTTAAAATCTCACCTTAAGTGCAGGTACACGAATGCAACTTCGCTCAATAACAAATTTGAACTTTTTTTATTGGAAATAGCCACATACAATCCTGATGTATTTATGATAAGTTAAACATGGTTTATGCCCTCAAGCTTAATACATGTGGAGGATTATAATATTTTTAACATTTAAACATCAAAAAAAAACTCTTTTAAAAAATCAATTTAATTTAATGAAGTATTAAAAAAAACTATTTTTAAAGTTTAAGTGGATGCTGTGCATATAATAAAACTATAATTTTTAAAGAAACAATATAGAAAATATTCTATATTGTTCCTTTAAATTGAATTTTTAATAATATTTTACATATAGTTGATTATGTTCAATTCTTTTAATTTTAATAACCATTTTCTTTGCAGTTAACACAGTCTAAATATTGTCATTAGTCTAATATTTTTCTTAAAAAATAATGCTTTTTTAAACATTTTTTAGACATCTTTTGTATACTGGTTACAGTATAGTAGATAAAAAGTTTTTTGTTTTTTTTTCAAATTTGGTTAGTAAAAATTTTATAAATAAATGCTGACATGATTATAGAATAAAAAGCATTAACAGAAATAAAAATATTATGAGTATGAAATTTATTTATTTTAGCAAATGATTGTAAAATTAATTGTCACCCTGATGCTATTTGTAATAATAGTATTTGCGTTTGTAAAAAAGGTTTTGTTGGTGATGGTGTAAATAAATGTTCAGGTATGTAGTTATCTTTTTTTGTGTGTGTTTTATGTATTATATCATAAAGTTTAGTAAATATTTAAGTTTAGTAAAATAAAAGTTAATAAAATTAGATATTGGTAATTGATTACTTGGCACTATCGCCTGATAACAGTAATAACAGTAACAAGAACTTATTTTTTTAGTCTAGCTCTTCTTTGGTACTAGAAAAGACAAGAGACTTTGAACTTGTCATATTATATTACAGTAGTTTTTTTATATTATCTTTCATGCATTTGTACTTGCATACATGCATGCCATTCTGGTGCTTTTATAGTAGCATAACTTGCATTTGTAAAAAAGGTTTTATTGGTGATGGTGTAAAAAATTGCTCAGGTATGTTGGTTTAACATTAAATATTATTTTTATATAATTAAAAATTTATCATGTGCAGTGCACAAAATAATGAGTAGTTAATGGCCAATGACCCCATGGATTTATCAAAATTGCTGTTTCAACCTCCCAAAGTGAATTCTTCTTTCAACTTCAAATTCAAGGTTGACCATTAAAAAAAAAATCTTGTTTTCAAAAAACAAGTTTTTTCAAACAATTTGGAAATAATTTGAAAATACAAACTATTAATATATAACTAAAACTATTTTGGTCCCTCTAAAGTAATATGGGCGTCTCAAAATATGCCTAAAAAGTAATTATTAGTTGTTATTTTTCTTTTGCTTTTTTAATAAAAATAGGAAAAAAGTTTCGATTTCATATGCTACCTAACTAATTTAATTAATTTAAACTTATGTAAATAACAAATTTTTGATTTATTTTTGCAAGTCAATTTTTTCTTTAGGAATCACCCATAAATTATTCAATGCAAAACTTATTTTAGTAGTAGATCATTTTGCTTATTTGCACAGCGGTCTTTGCTGGGCTTGAAAGGTTAATAGTTAAAAGGTTATTATTTATTTACTTGGTTTAAATAAAGACTTTGCAAAGGAAAACTTTTAATCCTTTGTCTTTTGTCTAAAAGCAATGTTGCCACATCTGGTTTTTTTTTTCACTAGATCTGGGTTTTTTTACCCCTGTCTAGGTTTCTGTCTTTTTTTACAAAATATTTCTAAATCTGGGTTTATATTGTTTTTGGAGTTTTTATTGATAAAATTAAGATTTATATTTGATTGTTGGTTTTCGCAAACATCTTTAATTAAATTTTAGTTGAAGAATATTTTAAAAACTTTTAGTAAAGAATATTTGAAGTTTGATATTTAAAATTTAATTCAAAAATTTGAATTCTAAACATTATTTAATGAAGCTTTTATTTCAAATAATGATGGGTTATTTTAAATTTAAGTTTTTATTTCAAATAATGAATACTTATTTCAAATAATGATGGGTTGAAAGAGTTACGATGATTGGAGGCTGGGAACAAAAAATTCCTCAAATTTTTCACAAATCCCTCTCCACTTTAAACATGAGGGGCAACAAGTTGATAAAATATTTTTTATACTATTCTCAATTAGACTTATATTCATAGATAAATTTTTAGTTTCATAGTATTATCTCTCAGCATTCAAAAGTTATGACAATATAAAGTATTAACTCCTTACAATTTGAGGGGACTACAGAAATATGCAGATATTTTAAAACTATTAACATACCTATTGTATTTCTAGCCATTTTAACATTTTTGCTAAATCCAAGAACATTAATTTAATCTACACAAGCTTTATAAGTATTATATTGACATATTTGTGTCCAATAATATTAAACATAATATATGTTTAATATTATCATACAAATATAAAAAATCACTCATATATGTCATATTTGTAATATAGTATACTATATTATATATATGTCATATTATATGTACATAAATAAGTTGTATAATATGTTACTATATATTAAAGCCTTTATAATATATTACTATATATTAAACACAGTTTTTGATATCAATAAATAATACTTAAGGATTTATTAACATAATAAAAAATTACTCTTTGAAAAAGTTTGACTATTCTACTTCTAAAAAAACTCCAATATAAAATGGAAAAAAAAAAAACACAATACACCATCCTATCATACTGCCAAAATGCAAAGTTCTAAAAATGTGGAACAAGACTTTAGCAAAAAATCTGTATCTTAAAATGTCTAATTTAAATTGCATATATGTATGCATGTTTAGTATTTATTTATGTTTAGTATGTAAGTTTAGTATGTATAGTGAATTAGTGAATTTAATGTTATACACTTTTTGCAATTTTTTTATTAAAAATAGTTTAATTTCCATTACTTTTTATTTTGTTTACAGTTGTACAACACTTTTTTTTGTCACTTGAATGTTAAAACCACAAAATCAACTGTGATATGGCATTAAATTGTGTAGGCCTCTTTTATAAAATGAATAAATAAAATTTTATTTTATTCATCGAAAGTTTCATATTTCTGTTTTTCTATATGTGCATCAAGTGTACATTGAACTTGCATAAGAAAACAAATTATTCTTAATATTAAGAGTTCTTAAAGATAATTTAGTTAATTTGGCAAAATCTTTATTAAAGTTTGTGTAAGTTGTTATTAAATTAATACACATTTAGTTTTTTAGTCAATTTTAATCTTTTAAAATTGAAAGACCATCAAAATTTTGCTTACATTTTTACATTGCTTACATCGCACAAATTTTACTAATTACTTTTTTAAATTACTAATTATAATTTAACCAGCTGTTATTGTAATTTTATGTGATAATTACTGAATACTTTAAAAAAAAAATTTCTATACATTTGTTTTTTTGAAATATTACCATTATTAGATTAGCATATATGTGTTTTAAGTTAAATTTCTCACATTTTTCATTATTATTAGTTCTTAACTGCATTTTTTTATTTAGTTTTTAGTTGTGCATTAGCTGACCTAACTGTAATGAGTAAGCAATGGAATAATCAGTTCTCCAACAAATCAAGTGAAGTATTTACCGAAATGAAAAATCAATTGTTTAATAATGTGAGATTTTATACTAAAACTCTTTTTTTGTTACCATTTGTTATTTATATATACCAATTATTACTAATATTGTTATCATTATTATTATGGTAATAAAAATGCTAATACTAAAAGGAGTTTTTTGATAATTGGTGACAACATTTAACTGTTAATAAGAAATTGTTTTAGGTATTTTATAATTAGAATTTTATAATTAGATTTAATAATAATTTATTGCTGAAATTTAACAAAATAACAATTAAAATGATTTAAATGTTCATAATGTTTAACGAGGGCGTGTAATAAGCACGCTCTATATCAGCCGGTGACTTTATATTTGCTTTCAATATATTTGTCTAATTGTTTTTTAAATGTTTTCACTGGTTTAGATAGCACAATAGACAGATAAAGATGATTCCATACAGTGGCTATTTTATTAAGAATAAAGTTCTCTCTTAATGGACAACATTCCTTTATTAGTTCTTTTTTGAATCGAATGTGATTTCTTCTGTATGCAAATTGTTCCATTAACTCATCAGGTTTTACTATCATTTTTAATGTAGATATACATCATTTATCTTGTATGAAAGCATGGACAATTTTGAAGCACTTTATTAAATCTCCTCTTTATATTCAAGTTTCTAGCCTTGTAATATGAAACTTTTTAATCGTGATTCATAACTTAGATGTGAGAGACTTCTTGTTTGAGTAGCTCTTCTTTGAACTTTTTTTTTCAAGAGCTGCTATATCTTATTTTTTTGATGGATTTCAGATTGGTGCTGCATATTCAAGAAGCGATCAAACAAAGACTTTATACAATATTTCAGCAATTGGTGTAGAATTCAAATGTTTGTTTAATTAAACCAAGCATTCTGTTAGCTCTGTTATTGATCTCACAGTTATTGATATGTTGTCTGTATTTTCCATCAGTAGATGTCATAATGCTTAGATCTTTTTCTGAATTGGAGCCTTCAATTCGAATTCATATTTTTTTATTAAAGTCACCAATAGTATAATTTATTTTTTGATAATACTTACCTAAATGCATTATTTTACATTTACTAATATTAAGTTTCATCTTCTATTCCTGACACCATTTAGCTATTTTATCTGTATCATTTTGTAATTCATTTCTACGTATTTCAATTTCGTTCAGCTCAGCAAGAGTTTTACTATCATCAGCGTATATTTTTATTATGTGGAAAAGTTTACAAGGAAGGTCGTTTATGAATATTATGAAAAAAAGCGGTCCAAGTACTGATCCTTGTATTGTGCCACTACTGATTAGATTCCAGTCAGACTGGTTTTCACCAAGTAAGATTAGATGTCTCATCATGGAGTCACCAATTATACTTTCCATTAATTAGCTTATGACTTATGACTCGTAAGCGATAATTCGTATTACAAGCTCTTATTCTTTATATGGTGAGATAATTTTTTGCATATTTTTTGATATTCTTTTTTTTCAATTATGCTGTTTATTGTTGTGTTTGATATCTTAGATACTATTTGAAATTTGTACCATGCACAATGTTTGTCCTGAAAAAATTTTTTTGTATTTGAATCAAACCACTTTGGTCTATTTATTTTTTGCTTGTTTGGTGTTTTAATAGGAGTGTATAATTCACATACTTTTTAATATATTGATAAAAATGATTTGTAGCAAAGTTGAATACAATTTCAAAGTTCGAGTAGTTGTTTCAATTTATGCTATCTATGTATAGTCAATTATGCTAAAGGTGATTAGATTCTTGTAATCACCTTTAGCGTAACTGTGATGTTGGATTGAGGAACATTGAAAAGGTAGATTATTTTGAGTCCTATATTCCCATATTATAGTACAGTGTCCATGTGTAATGTTGCCAAACGTTGTTCCTGGAGATACCTCTGATATTGGTTAGTTGAACCCCCCCCCCTCCCCCAATATTATGCAACAATCTTGTTTCCCCCCCTCCCTGCCCCTATAATTTTTTTTTTTAAGTTTTTTTAGAGAGTATGGGAGGGGGTGCAAAATTTTATAAAATACAAAACGATTTTAAATATAATAAAGTCTATAATTCACTGAGCTTCTTTGAGTTAATTAATTAGTACTTTTCAGTCTGTTTAATGTTTTTTTTTTGTCTTCAATAGTTTCATGTAAAATTGTATAAATTAGCATCACTCTCCTAAACATGATACCTATTTTAAAAATCTATTTTTCCGATATATAATACATGCAAAATATTGTATACATATATATGTATATATATATATATATATATATATATAAAATATATATATAATGATAATATATTATACATGCAAAAATATTAATTTATAAATACATATATTTTCTTCCAACTAACAATGGAAGCGTGATCTTGTGGATTCTTCTTCAGATACTCTTTTAACTAAAAGAACCTCTTCTCTAAAAAAAAAATGTTGCGTCACAAAATTGAGACCCCGGCCCCTTGTAACAAATCGTCTCAAAATTGCCTACCCCTTCCCCCCCCTCCTTTCTTCTAAGCGTGACGTAATTTGTGGATGACCCCTTAACAGTATTGATAAAGTTTGTAGTCAGTATTTATTTAAAGCTTTTAAGATTGTTCGAATTGAATGGGTTACATTCTACATCCCATTTGATGTCAGCATAGTTGAAATTGCCTGCAATCATTACCCCATCAAAACTTTTAGTCAAGAGGTAGCGGTTAGCTTTATAGAAGGATTCATTATTTTTTTGTCTCTTATAGTGGTTAGATAAATTTTAAGGTTGTCCTGTGCATTGAGAATTATTGGCCTGCATACATACGTCCAAGCAGCAGTTTTTCTTTGCCAATTGATAAACAGCACCACTATTACTCGACACATTTGTCATTTATTATCTTATTATTTGTTTCAGTACTATTATATCTCGAATTAACATATATGGCTACTCCATCACCACGACTACCATGATTTTTTCTAAATAACTCATAGTTGGTAATATAAGGAATGGATGTGTCTGTAAACCATGTTTCTGTGATAAAAATAATTTCAAAATTATGATAAAGGGCAATTGTTTGAAGTTCTTTTTATTGTTAAAGGCTGTTGCATTGGTGTAGTGAGTTCAGTAATAAGTTGATTTAGATGATGAAGTTCTGTGTAATGATGACAAATTTAAATGTATATATATTTTGAATCACTAGTTGGTATTAGTATGCCTCCCTTCAAGGTTAACTTTGATTAGTGAATCTCCTTTTAAAATAAATTTAAATTTGTTTTCTTCATTTGATTCTTTTGATTTATTGTTTTATCATTTCTCTCTGCAATAAGTTTTTTAGCTTTTCTGCTTGAAGTTGAAATAGGAACTGAAATGTTAATGGCTTTGTATAATTTATCAATTATATCCTTTAGTTCTGTATCACTCTCAGTTATTTTAGTAACTTCAGTTTACTTTTTGCACGATATTGGTAAAACACTGGTTAAATGTTTATTTTTTATTTTTTTACACTGATTAAATGTTTTTTCTGATTTTTTAAAATTACTTTTTTAAACACAAGAAAATGTCTGTTTTAAAAGTTTTTTATTTCTTGATAGGAGGGCTACCACCCTAAAAAACTATGGATTACCTCCTGTCTGAAACTCTGAACTTAGAGGGCTACCACTCTAAATAAAAGTGGATTACCTCTCGTGAACTATTATTAATTTTGTGTGGAGTTTTATTAATTGTGAAGTTTTATTAATTTTATTAGTTATTAATAACCTTATTAATACAAATAGAACTGTTATTTTTTGTGTGTTTTTCCATCAAGTTATTTTAAGTATTTTATAATTAGATTGAATTTTAAGTAATTTAGTTTAACAGTTTTATATTTTTTGCCACTCTATTTACAATAAAAAAAATGTTTGTTTACTTTTTTTTTGCATGTTTGCTATTCATACTTGTTTTAATTAGCAAGTGACTTGGATTGCAAAAGTGGTCAATGAGTTTTTAAATTACATGCATAAATATGTTATATCTATTGATAATTCATTTGCTTTAGAAGGTTATTTTAAGGAAAGATTTTAGCCCTTATACCCTCATACTTTCAAATGATACAATACCAAAATTGGGCTTTAGCTTATATTCAAGCAATATACCTTAAATACTGGTTGAAAGAGAAATCTATGCTATGAAATTTAGTGAGATATAGTAAATAATAATAAAAAAAGTAAAGTTTAAAAACATGAAAAAAAAATTTAATGATGTAAAATTTAAAAAGTTTTTATTATTAATGCTTAATTCAAAGTTTGATTTTCTTTTTAGTTCAGTAAAAGTTCATTTTAAAAGTGTAAAATATTTAATAATATGTAATTTTTTAATGTATATCAATAAAATAATTTTATATTTAAATACTATTTTATTTTATTTTAATTTAGCTCAGAAATAGTTTTTTATCTACCAAATTTTCAGAAGAATTAATTTTACATGTAGAATTTTATAGCAGGTTTAATTTTTATTTCTTTATCTCCTTCGTGTTTCATGTTCATTTTTTCGTTTTTTTAATGTTTAATTTCTGTTTTCTAATTTTCTTTATTAGATTTGACCTTTTTTAGTAAAAGAGGTAAATGCACAAAAAACATTTATGTGCATACCGTAACTTACACTGTGTTAAACCAATAACGTTTTCACTTTTTACCGTTTTAAACCTTATTAAGAGTGAAAAGCTCAACCGTAACTAGTGTATAAGTTACATTGTATGTATGATTCATTGATGTTTTTTTGTGCATTTATCATTTTTACCTAAAATGCTCAACCCTATTCTTCATATGTAATTTTATGTTTAGTTTTTTTTTTTTTTACTATTATTATAATGTTTGATTTGATGTTTAGTTTTATTCATTTTTTTTTTATCTTTTTTAAAATCTTTAAAAATAAATGTGTAATTAAATTTTATTCAAATTCTATTACTTGAGGAGCCCATTTGCAAAACGCTCTAAGTCCGAGTAAATCCATTTCGAGAAATAGAAGGAAAACGTGCCCAGGCTTAATTAGCCCTCAAAAAAAATTTTGTTTGTTAAATTTACACTATCAAGTAGAGACAATTAAATAACATGCACGAAAAAAAATGGAACTCTTTAGGATCTTGAAATAAACCTTGTTAAAATACGGACTTAGCTTAATTTGAATATTTCAGATGTTCTTAGATTATTTTGAAATTGTTTGGTTAAATTCAGATAGATCGCTTGCATATTAAAACTAATTAAAATGTTTTGAAGGATTTAATTTGCACGAATTATAAACTTCTTTATAATTATATTATAAAAAAGGTATCGGAAAAGGTAATTTAAAACATAGGGAATTAAGAAAAGGCTATAATAAAAACCTAGTTTTTTATTAAAAAATTGATCTTTAACACAACAAAATTTAAAAAGGATAAATACATCAAAAAGTTAAATATGTCTGCATACAGCATCTTCATCAATACAGCTGCATGTAGTATCTTCCTCGTCTTTGATGCTTTTTTTTTATTAAAGAATCATTAACAATACTTTTTAAAAAATTAAAACAATTATCCTGCTCCCAATTATCCTGCATGCACAAGAATCAAACTTTTGATATCTTTCTTTTTAGCCTCTGCAACTGGGACTCCTTTCTAGATCTGAGATAGACAAGATAAACAATCATGGTCTCTTTTTGTTATAATTTGAGGGCTGTTAAGAAAAAATTTAAAATTTGGTTCTCCTTGGACTTTAATATTTTTAAGCGATCCTCTTGTGATAAAAAAGTATTTATTTTCCTGAATTTTGATTGGCAATGGTTTTTTAAAAACTCTTAAAGGTACTGATTTGAAGTCCAACACATTCCAGTCTTTTCCTGCAATTTTCACTGTTCCCTGGGTACTGTAAACCTTAAAGTACTCTTCTGGAGAATATATTCTTTCAATTTTTTTCAACTTTTTTTCAAAAGTTTCAAATACACGGTCACAAGGCAAAAATGTATGTCCTCGAACAGGAAACAAAAGTTCAATTGTTTTTACTTATATCGGTGCATGTCTTAACAGCCAGAAGACTGACATATAAATTAAAGCAATATTTTTATTTTGACCACCACATGCATCAAAAACTAAACGAACAGTGTCTATGCCATCCATGTTTGTATTGCAGAGCTTGTCAAATACTGCACTGGAACAGGAAGAACTATTCTTTTTTAAATCGCTCTCATTCCAAGTATAGATAGTGACATTATCTTGATTTAAAGATCCGTTATTTTCATTTTCTACAACACAAAAGTTGTATATGTACAGTTGTCTACTATAATAAGCTTGCTGATCTGGAACTTTAGGGATGACTTGGTTTTGTTGATGGTCAAAGCAAATAATTTTCAAACCATCTATTTTTTCTTTTAAAAGATCATAGAATGCATTTGCTCGATGCTTATGAACAACTAAATCAGTAATTAAACTGTTCTTTTTTTCTGAGTCATTTTCAATATTTATTTGGTTTCGAATTCTTTCACAAAATGAACATGCATCTGATTTAGGAGAACCAAACCTAAATTAAAGTTGAGCATAAATATTTTTCTGAAAAACTCATGTCACTGGTAGATTGGGTTCCCTTTCTGCATACAACTTCCATACTGTTTTAATACTTTTAAGCTCTGATGTTAGATAAAGTTTTATAGATTTCTTTCTGTTATAATCACTTTCCCTTCCAGAAAGACTCTTTATAAAATCTATCACAGCCTTTCGCTTATCCTTGAATTTATGGCTTTTTTTATCACCACCTCTGTTTTCTTGTCTAGGATTACCATGTGTAAAGAAATGTTTTGCAATACTTTGAACACGAGTTTTACCAACATGTAAGCATTTTAGAAAAGTGTCTTTGCAAACACGCACTATTTGTCTGTTTTCTTTTTCTATAAAATAACTAATTTCACAATTAGACCTGTTCCTAATTTTTTTAGTATAAAATTGCTCTCTTTTTCTATATCGTTGTTTTTCCTGAACAGAAAAAAACTTTAATATAAATTTGTCTTGGTCACATTTTTTTATAGCATTATAAAAATGAGCATTAAAAAGGTAAAGGTCAATATCTTTTATTTCAGAGCATTTATATATCGTTTTGCGTTGATATTGGCAATAGTATTTTGATGGTGGTTTTAGTCCATGCCTGAAAATAAAAATGTCAAATTATATATATATATATATATATATATATATATATATATATATATATATATATATATATATATATATATATATATATATATATATATATATATATATATATATATACACACACACATATATATATATATATATATATATATATATATATATATATATATATATATATATATATATATATATATATATATATATATATACAGGGGTGGGACCGCAAAATGTGAACGTTTTTGTTTTATTATAACTATTTTCTCGTTAGATGTAGTTGTACTCTCTCACTCATCAGAAAGTGTCTAAAGAGTTGGTCTAAACGTTGTAAAATGATCTACGAGAATCAAGGAGGTCAAATTGAACATTTAAAATAGTTCATATTTAACAGAAAATTAATTATTACAATCAGAAAAGTGTTCACATTTTGCGGTCCCACCCCTGTATGCATATAATATATATACACACACACACACACACACACACACACACACACACACACACACACACACACACACACACACATGCTCTAATTTTAATATAAACACACAATTCATTGGTTGTTAAAAAATCATAACGTCATTTGATTCGCTGAGGACTTAGTAAGTTTTAAAGCTGTAAACCTGTTTGACTTAGCGTGTTTTGAAAATGTTTAGATATTTCCCTTGAATATTTTTTGTACTTAGAGTCTTTATTTTGATTTAATATTTAAATAGATTATAGATTTCAGTATATAAAATGGAAAAATGTAATTAACTCAATTTTTTTATTTTTGAGACTTAGCGCATTTTGCAGTTGGGCTCCTCACTTATTATATTTTATATCTCTTCCATTCCATTGTATATTTTATTCCTTATATACCATAAAATAATTTTTTATTAGAAATCTGAAACTTGGAGCATTAGTCCAATTCTCCTATAGAGTTCTGGTTGAAAATCGTGTTGAGAAATGTAGAGTGCTTATAAATCTAAATTTGGATGCCAAATATTTTGTTAATTCTTTAAAATCTTGTGGTAAGATATTTTAGTCTTTATTGTGCCAATAATTGTTCATACTTAAATATTTTGTAAGTATTTCTCTTCAAAAAGTGAGCTTTGTTTCATCTTAATTTATGTTACATTAAAAAAAAAATAAAAACAGAAATCTATGTAACTTTAATATCTAAAAGTTTTTGCAGATCTGGCTTTTCTCAGTTTTAATTAAATAATGGAAAAAGATTAGTATAACATAATGTTTTTCAAAATATTGCATTTTGAATGTTTGTCTCATATAAATAAAAAAAAATAGTAAAAAGTTTTTTTCTTGTTATTTAGTTTATAAATTTAGTTAGTTTATAAATTTATACGAAATAGCAATTTAATAAACTAACTCGAAGTTTAATGAAATAATTTTTTTTTTTTTTTTTTTTTTTTTGAGAAAGTATCCATTTACTATTTAAGTTCAGTAAATTGTTTATAATAATATGAAAACATTTTAAAACAAACTTGAGATTAACTTACCCAAAAAATATATCAAGTTTAATATTAAGAAAAGATCTTAAGTTTGTTTTAATCTTAGAAATTATGCTGTGATCTCCTTTTTATGTAGATATTTCCTGTATACACACTCACTTAGACTGGTTATTGGAACTGTCCGAATATATTTTGCATAATTTGGTTAAATTTACTTCGTTATTAAAATGATTAAATCCAGGAATTTTTTAAAGTATTTAGAAAAATGAAAAATATTAATTAAAATAGAAGAAAAAGTTATCCTTAATAAATATCCTTCACAAATAGATTACACCGGTTTAAACTCACACTCTCAGTTTGGGTTTGGGCAGCTGTAGTAAATAAAAACCTCTTTTCGTAGTTATGTGCACAAAGACAGGGTGTTACCCAGGAAAAAATTTCATACAGTGTTTTTGCGAAATTGGGAATTTAGGTGCGGTTAAAAAAAAAAAAAAGATCGTTACAGTTATATTTACAGCAAGATTATTTTTCTACTTTATATATGTTTAATTTTAATTAATCAGCTTGTTTCATTATGAGCAATCTTCTAAAGTTTTTATTTAAATCTCTTCTTTTTTTTTTGATAAACTGCAGCCGTTTTTCATAAACACCTTATTACATATTTCAAGAAAAGTGCAATTAAAAAAAATTATTAGGAGAAACTCTTTGCAAAATGACTTTTGAAACTAATAATTTTTTATGAATTTTTTTAGAGCTCTTTGAAAATATGAATTCAATAACGTTTGTAGACATCTAAACTAGCATATTTTGTAAAAATGTCAAAATTGATTTTTTTTTTACCTAAAGGCGTTTTGAAAAATGGCTGCAGTATAGTAGAGCGAAAACAAGAACAAAAGACGATTGTTTGCAGTTTTAATGAATAAATTATGAATATATATAAATTATATATTTCATTGAAACCTTGATCTATTTTAATTGCGTACATCGCTTTTTAAGTACAAGTTTAAACGATTAGTTCTAAAGAAATATATTTGAATATATAACTATTTAAATACTTAAAAATTTAATTGGCATATTTAAATATCTAGTAAATTAGGCATTTAAATTAAAAATATTTTTAAATACAAAGTTATTATTATTTTTTTAATTTACAAATATACATTAAATATCTACGTAATGTTTGTATTTGTAATTAAAAAAAAAAAAAATGTATTTATAAATATTGGCTAATAATTAATAATATTGTAATATTATTTAATTATCTTCTTTTATGTTTTACGCAAATATAACATAGATAATATGTTTCATTGCAAGTTTTATTTTTGATTATTTTTGTTGTTATCTTCGGTTTACTTTACTAGCTGATTTATTTTATTAAAAGTATTAATAAATCTTTTATTATAAAAACGATATTAACTTATTTTAAAGTATAATATTTATTATTATGCGAATTTCTTTGTAACTTTCCTAACTTAAGATAATCAGCAAACACCTAAATAAAGAGTTTTTGAATAATAAAAATAAATTAATAAAATAATTTATTAAACATATTCAAAAGTTTGAGCTCGAGAATAAGTGACGTCAATAAAAATTTAAAAAAAAAAGTTTTTAAACTTTTGAATGAATGATTTTGTTAATGATGCTTGTTAATGATGACACGTTTTTACACATAAAAAAAATCGATAAATTTAATTCATTTTTTCGTCATGCATATTTATTTTTACTAGTCTAGCGCGACACTTTAAATCTGCGACTGACTTAATTTTTTTTTTTTATATACTATGATCTTATAAACCTTTGGGAATTTTAAACTAATTAGGAATACCACGTTATACATGGTGCCATCAGGCTGGGTAACACCCTGAAAGATGTTTTTGTATATATGTATGTTATTATTGTTTTTATAATTGAGTTTTGAATGTAAATTGTTTTATTTTTTTATTATTGTTGATTTATATATATATATATATATATATATATATATATATATATATATATATATATATATATATATATATATATATATATATATATATATATATATATATATATATATATATATATATATATATATATATTTAATTTTGTTATTATTTTGTAATAGCTATTTAATATTTAGACTGTTGTATTGAACAGACTGTTGGAGAAGACAGTTACACTGGAATATATAATTTTCCAGTGACTTTAAGAGATGATGTTCATGTTTCTCTCTGTGTATATAATGCAAGTATTCAATTTCAAAGACGATGTTTGTTTGTTAGTAATTTTGCTATTCCTGAGTGGGAACCTGCTATTCTTTCGAATTGTCCTTCAAAATCTGAAATATCCCAGAAACTCATCAACTTGGAAAACGTATGAATACTAATATCAAAGTAGTATTTTAATTTGTTAATTAACTTCTATATCATATTTTACATTAACTATATATATATTTATATATTAATGATATCTTAATAGTATGATAATATATGATATATAATTGCCATCTTAATAGTATGATAATGTAAGATATAATAATGCCATTTTAATAATATGTAATATATGATATTTTATTGATATCTTAATAGCATTTATATATAAAATTAAAAAACATCATTGACAGTGACATGCTATTTATTTAACTTATTTAAATTTTATTAATGTTAAGTGTAATGTTTCGACTCATAGTTAAAGCCATTTTCTTAATAAAATATGTTACAAAAGTTTATTTACAATAATGATGTCAATGTTGCATAATATTAGTTGTAAATAATTAACAAAAAAAGGTTTCTAACACTTATCAATCTGTTGCTATTACTTTACTTTGGAATCTTTTTTTTTTTTGGTTAGCCATTTCAATCTGTCAATGTTTTATTATGTTGTTCTACTAACAGCTTTCTTTTTCTGCTTTTTTTTGTCACCTAAAAATGCCATAAAAATATACCATATAATTTTAACTAAATAAATCATACAAAAAATTTTTAGAATTCAAATCTTATTTCTTGATTTTTTTAAAAAAGTTATACTTTTTTAGAATTTTTTTATATTTTTAGTCATGTAAATATTTGTTTTTATAAATAAATTTAAATAAATAAATTATATTTAGATTAATGTCACAACATCAAACATTTTAAATGTTACATATTACTTAAATGACATAGTTCAAAATGGTAACCTATCAAGCATATATGATGTTCAAATGATTTCAAGTATTATAAAACAGATTATAAATGTGAACTTCTCATCAGAAAAGGTTAGTTGTTTTTGTGTTTGTTTATTTAGTTTTTATTTGCACCAAAAAGTGTCTCACAACTGAAAACTCAAACCAACTTCTAGTACCTCTAAACAACTCAACATCATCACAAGAATAAAAAAGTTTATTTGATTTAATTGATTTTTTAATTGATTTTTTAAAACTAAATAAGCAGTTGTTTATTTAGTATTTATGATTATTGGATTGTTTGATTTTTATTGTTAAAATAAAATTTATAATTTGTCTTTTTTTTACTTTTTTTATATTAAGTTTTTTATTCTTTTTAAGTACTAAATTTTTTTTATTAAAAATAAAATTCCTATAATTATTTTTTTTTTGATAATATGTTTAGGTTACCCATGGTATTTTGTCATCTATAGATGCTTTAATAACTTCAAATACAAGTTTAATTAAGAGCGCAAACCAGAAGTTTAATTTGTCTGCTGTTTTTTTATCATTAATTGATGTTTTGGGGAAACAACAAACCACAAATGTTACTATGTCACTGAAAAACTTGGGAATGGCTTCATACATTACCAAACAAAAAAAAAACTCAATATTTATTTTTTCAATGGAAAATGAATCTAGTGTTGGTGTAAATATATCTAGTGATAATTTCAAGTCTACATCAGATATAAAAGACTACATAATTCTTCCTTCTTCATTATTTATTGAACATAATGAAACTCAAATTTACTCTTTTATATATAGAACAAAAGCATTTTTCAGGGAACAAGTAGGAGTTATAGATAGTGTGATACTGTCAGTCTCAGTAAATGGTATAAAAGTGGAAAACTTAAGCAATCCAATATTGATGAAGTTTTCCAGTAAATCTACTATTTCTGGCAAAAGAAATTGTCAATTCTACATGGTGGAAGGTGTTTCTTAACATTTTTTTTCAAATATTAAAATTGTTTTAATATTTTTTTAAAAATAATTAATTTCCAGTAACTATGATTTTTTATAAAACTATACTCCAATAAAATTAGAGGATTTACTTAAAACCAAATTATTTTAAAATTTAAGCTAATTAATGTTATGTTAATAGTCAGCTTAAAATTTTAAATAATAACTTGAGTTTTAAGGATTTGTGAGTCGCATAAAGTGTGTTGTTGAATAGTCATTTATTGATCTTTCTCTTTTAGTCTTATTATTATTTTTATTATTATATATATATATATATATATATATATATATATATATATATATATATATTTATATGTATATATATATATATATATATATATACATATATATATATATATATATATATATATATATATATATATATATATATATATATATATATATATATATATATATATATAAAGAGAAAAAGAGAGATGTAAATTCTTCTTTTTTTTCAGAACAAAACTGGACTACTGATGGTTGCAACACTACTGGCAATCCAACTTCAGAAATCTTTTGCCAATGCAACCACCTTACAAACTTTGCAATATTGCTAGATGTTGATCAATCAAACAATAACCCTCTGATCCTTAGTATTGTTACATGGGTTGGGTGTGCTATTTCAATTGCTGGATTATTTATTACTATTGTTAGTTATTCTGCTTTTGCGTAAGTTGTTATATTTTTTTGTCACTAAAACTAATTTTTTGAAGCTTTATTTTTTTACAACAAATCTGTACTACTAAGAGTTGAGCAATCCCTTTAGAAATTTTAATAAACATAAAAAATTTTCTAAAATTTATTAAAACAAAATTAAACAACTATTAAAGTAAAAAGTTTAAGTTTTTAAAGTTTAAGGCTTTTTTTTTTTACTTTAATTTTTAGTTCTACTTTCAGTATTTTGAAATTAAAAGTAAAAATTGGAAAAAAAAGACACCTTGACTTAAAAATGTTTGCTGTTTAATAATACTGTTATCTCAAAATTTTAAACTTTTTTTTTTAATTATCTTCGCTTCCAACAAGGCTGCAAGCAACCACTAATTAGTGTTGGAAGTTACTGGAAGAGAAAAGATGAAGATTGTAGAGCATGATAACGATTTACTGACAACTTAAAAGATTGCAAATTATATGAATCAGGAAAGCAAAATGAAGGAAGCGAATTCCAAAGAACTGATGTTCGAGGAAAAAAAACTAGACAAATAAGAGTTTTTGGAGCACTTAGGAACAGTAACAGAAAAAGGATGAGACTTAATTGAATGATGAGTAACACAAGAATGAATTTTAGTAGATGGCACAAGAGACGCTAGCTCTTTCGAGCAGTGCCCATTATAGTATTTGTAGAAAAGAGAAAGAGAAGCAACATTACGACAATGTGACAGAGGTTGAAGGTTGGCTGCAAGAGCAGGTCCAACTATGTTTACAATGCGTTTTTGCACCTTGTCTAAAAGAGAAAGGGCATCATTAGAAGATCCTCCCCAGATATGGCAACAGTGATCCATACAAGGCCGGATTTGAGATTTATAGAGATAGAGAATAGGATCCAGAGTAAGAAAGTGACGAGCTCGATAAAGAGAAGCAACTTTAGCAGATGCTAATTTTGCATCGGATTTGATATAAGGTTTCCAAGAAAGATCAGAAGTAAGAGTTAATAGAAGATGAAGGGTGGGAGACTCATCGAGTACATTACTGTTCATAAATATAGGAAGGTCTAAACTATTGCGATAACGATTGGCCGAAAAAAATTGAGTTTTATCTGAATTAAAGTTCACCAGCCACTGTGAGCCCCATGCTGTAGCAGGTGAGATCCTTTTCAAGCTCAGATGCCCACTACAAGCAATCAGAGGGAGTTGGCTTCCTATTGTGACAAGAATAAATGGTAGTATCATCAGCAAACAATGCCACCTTAGATGTGAGAATATCTAGAAGATCGTTAATGTAAAATAAAAAGAGTATAGGGCCAAGGATTGAACCTTGAGGTACCCCTGAGGTTACAGAATGAGAAGAAGAGTGCTGTCCATCAAGGACAACTTTTATACTACGATTGGAAAGGAAGAATTCAATAATCTTAAAGATGTTTTCAGATACACTGTTAGTAGAAAACTTATGGAGAAGACCAGCATGCCAAACTTTATCAAACGCTTTAGAAATGTCAAGAGCGATGACCTAAACCTCTTAACCTTTGTCTAATGCGCGATAAAACCTATCGGTTATTACTGTTAGCAAATTAGCCGTAGAACGAGAAGATCGAAATCCATATTGACGATCAGAAAGTAGTTTATGAGATTCGAGATGAGAGATTAAGTGTTTGTTAATAAAAGATTCAAAAACCTTGCTTATGATAGGAAGAAGACTAATGGGACGGCAGATAGACAAATCGGATCACTCTCCAGAATTTTTAAAAATAGGGATAAAAGATGCTGCTTTCCAGCAGGCTGGAAAACAAGACTCTGATAAGCACTTGTTAAATAGTTTTGAAAGGATAGACAACAGCTCCGGAGAACACTTCTGCAAGACTATAACAGGTATGTTGTCTGGGCCGCAAGCTGTAGAAGAGTCTTAACAGGAAATCACTTTAGATACAGAAGCTGGAGTAATACGGATGTCGAGCAGTGGATCAACCTGTTTGACGGTTATATCAGGTAGAACGCAACTAGTGGCATCAAGAGATGATAGTTTAGCTTTGTCTTTAGGTGAGGTGACAAAGTCTGAACCATACAAAAGAGGTGGAATTACAGACTTGCCCTTAATATTGATACTATTAAAAATTCTCCAGAAGTCACTAGAGCCTAATTTTTGTGATGAAATACGAGATCTCATGATCTGAGAATAGCAGGCTTTGGAATTAGACAAAACCTTTTTACAATGGTTCCTAGCAGTAATAAACAGACGTCTGTTTTCTGGAGAATTGTTTTGCTGATAGATATGGAAGTAATGGTTTCGATTGGCAATTGCAGCAGCACAATGTGAGGAAAACCATGGAAAAGAGTGAGGCTTGCCCTGGAATCGTTGAGAGGGAATAAAGGATTCCATGCCAGCCTGAATCCACGAAGTTTTTAAGAAGCACATTTGTCAACAGGGAGACGAAAGATTTCTACGCAGGGGCCATCACGAAGAAATCACAGAAAGAGTTCCAGTCAGCTTTAAGGTAGTTGTAAGATGTACGATGATAGGGGGATTTTGATGGTAAAGAAGAATGAGATAATAGTTTTAGAGAGACCAAACCATGATCAGAAGCACCTAAGGGTGAGTGTGAAGAAACTGAGCACTGACTAGGATCAGAAACAAGACATAAGTCGAGTAGAAAAGGTAAATGATTCGGGTTGTCTGGAAAGCAAGTTGGAAAGTTGACTATTTGAGTTAGGGGTTGAGAAAGACAAAAGTTGTGGGTCTTAATGCCTGCAGAGTCACTGACACTAGAGCCAAGCCATTCAGTGTGATCAACATTAAAATCACCGACAACAACAATATTGGCTGATGGATAAAGAATGAGGGCTTGGTCAATATAATCAGAAATAATATCAAGAAGAGTGCAGTCTTGAGATGCGGGAGAGTGATATAGAACAAAGAAAATGGTGATAGAGTGAAGTGATGCTAAACGAAAACACATAAAAGAGTAGTCTGTGGATTCAAACCTAGTTTCCCGACAAATGGGTTAATTCTTACGAATGTAAATGCCCAGGCCAAGCATGTGACTATTGGAGTCTTTACGAATTAAAGGAAGATAACCATCAACACTAAGAACACAAGATGAGACAGCTGAACTCAAATTAGTCTCACAAAGAGCAAGTAGGTCTGGTGAACTTTGCGAGAGATAAGACTGAACAGAAGAAAAGTTACTTCGAAGACCACAAATATTGGTGAATGATAGGTTTAGCGAACTTGGTGATGACTGTGGTTTTTTGTGTTTTATAGTTTTTGTTACTTTAATCATTTTTAAATTTGTTAAAGAACTTGACTCGAAACATAGATAGTACTCAGTACACTGCTTTATAGCTCAAGCAATTGCCTTATTTCCTCATTTCATGCGGTAGTGGTGTAGTGGTAGAGCGCTCGCTTCATAAACTAGTGGTTCCGAGTTTGATCCCCACCACGTCCCTGGTAGTACCGCGCTCAACTCGTTTCTCCGCGCAGCGGCCTTGTTCGTCAAGGTTCGTGTTTCGGAGTTATAGAGTTGAGAGAGGGTTATAGCCACAAATAAGTAGCCTCCTCGTCTGTAGTGGCCTTCCCGGCCTTGAGAAGGTGAATTAAAATAAAAATAAAAAAATAAAAAAAATTTCCACTAATCAACCCTATGCCATAACAAAGAGCTCCAATGTGGCTCTGGCAATGCACACTAAAATACAAACAGGGACACCATCCATGTGCAACATGGCACTGTTAGTACTCTGATATTTTTCAGCTGTTGATAGAATCAGCCTCTCTGAGAGCTACCACAGTGTTCGGGAAACCTGACTACCAGCTGGCCTCAGAACCATAAAACTGAGTTTTAGAACTGTACCCTCATTCGGAGATTATAGAATGAGTTGCCTAGTCATAAAAACAGAGACACAAACAAAACCCATGAATTGAGTCAAGAAGATCCAGAGTTCAACATCCTAAACTGGAAACAATGTATTAAAAATATATCTGCGCCAGCCTAATGGATGAAGAAGGGGTGCGAGGCTGGTTAACAGATAGAATCTGTTTACCCCTTAAGTGCAGTCTTTTTAAAAATATCTTGTTGTCAAAAATTTTTTTAAACCAAAGTAAAACATAAAATATATGTTTAAATTCTATATATTTAGATTTTTATCTTCCTACCTCACCAGATAAAGTCTTGCACTGCAATCCTTGTAAAACCACAGCTCAACCAATCATTTCCTTTTAAAATGACAATTTTGTAGCGAGGTGTTTCGGCAATTATATACCAATATTTTCTAAAAATTTTACAACCTTCTTATGGGTTGCAATTTAAAATGTTAAGTAAACGCATTAATATGACTTCAACCGTACAGGTATGGGTGTATGGACATTCCATAGACAATGGATAAAACTACTTTACATATTATTCAGTATTTATAAATTTTTAAAAGTAATTTTATTAAATAGTTTATTTGTCAAAAAAATAGTTGAACCTGAATTTATTGCTAAAAGGACAGAATATAAGTGCTTATTTTGTGATTTAGGCTAGATTTTTGTTTAAGATAAATTTTCTTTGAAATAAAGAATTTGTTCAATCACAACAGCTTGGTAACAAGTTGGTAGCTTCATGGAACACATCTTAGCACTTACCCTTCTTCTCTTAAATAAATTTGTAAGCTTTTTATAATTTTTAGACTTTAAAGAAGTTCTATCACTGGTCCTCAATTTAAAAAGTTGCATTTAACACATTTTAAAAATTTAATTTAATATTATTATTAAAAATAAGTTGAGCAAAACAGTTTTATGAATGAACATTAAATCAATAAACCAATCTAAAACCCTTAACCAAAACCAATGAAAACCTCAAATATTTTTAATATAAAAAGGAAACATAAAAAATATGTATTCATTAAAAGTTAAAAAACTATGCAATAGCACACTCTAATATATATATATAACTCCATTTTAAACAGATGTTATGAATTAAAATTTTTTGTAATAAAAGTATACAAAAATTATCAAAATACCCATGTCTAGCATTGGCAGCTGCTGCAGGGTGTTTGAACAGGCAAGCAAGAAAAAAATTAAACTCTTTTAAAGTTATTAAAAACAACTTTTTAAATGGATTATGAAAATTAAAAAAGAAGTATGCATAATGTTGTTGCATCCATACCAATGTTGATAACATTTTTTGAAAAAAAAACAGTCTGCTGCATTAGCACAAGAAGCTATTTCTGATCATGTAGCTGCTATCCTCTGGATTTGTTGACTAGTGATTAAGATTTTAGTAAAGAGGCAGTAATCTTTGACTTCATTAGTGTTGCCAGTGAAAATTTAACTCAGAACATCGAAGTATACTTTATTAACCTTGCCGATTAAATATGTCATAGTAGTTGACTGATTGAGGTCATCAGAAAAAATCAGAAATTAAGAGATGTCAGTGCCACTGATTTTTCAACATTTGAAACCTGTGGAAACGCTGGAACTTTGCTACACATCTTAAAATAGTTGTTTAACAAAAATAGATATGGTGTTTACTGGTTATCTTGCTTTTTTTTTTCAGAAAAACTAAGAGTTCTCTAATCAGCAAAAGTGGATTTTGCAACTGGAGATTGCTTATGAAGGATTTAGTAAGCATAAGCAATCTGCTGAACATAACTTTATCCATCTTTTTTAATTGGAGTGAATGCAGTTATAGTATTAATTGCAACTTTCTTAAACAGTTTAAAGAATGTAAAGCAGGAGTAGAGAAGTGTGTTGCATGAATTTTCTTAATGAGCAGGCTATTTTTAAATCTGGTGGGTGTCACAAAGCTGAGTTTTGTGTGATTTCTCTTTCTTTTGTGACCGATCTTGCTGCATTTATCTTTGGCTATCTTTAAAAACTATGAAACTTTTTTTCTGCTTCAATGTAAGTCTGGGAAGTCTTGAAATCAAAACAGGAAATATAGATAAAGGTTCTAAAAACTATTTAGGTTAAATGGTTCTTCACACACAAATGCATGTTCAAAATAATTTATCTTCTCTACTCAACTTGAGTCTTGTTTCTAATTCTAGGCAGTGCTCAGTTTCTCCACCTTTAGGTGTTTCTGATCATAGTTTAATCTCTCTAAAACTATTATCTTTTTTTTATTCATCATTATAATCCTCTTTGCCTAATTTTAATGATTGCTTTTTTGCTTATAACTACCTTAGAGGTGACTGGGATTCTTTCCATGATTTTCAGCTTTCTGCTGACAAATGTGCTTCTTATATAACTTCTAAAATTTAGGCTAGCATGGAATCTTTTGTTCCCTCTTGGCGATTCCAAGTCAAGTCTCACTCTTCTTTATGGTTTTCCTCTCATTTTGCTGCTGCAATTTCCAATCATAACCATTACTTTTATATCTATCAGTAAAACAATTCTCCAGATGTCTATTTACTATTGCTAAAAACCATTGTAAAAAGGTTTTGTCTAATGTCAAAGCCCGCTATTCTCAGATAACGAAATCTCATATTTCATCTCAAAGATAGGCTTTTGTGGCTTCTAGAGAATATTTAACAGTATCTATAATAAGGAAAAATCCATCATTCCAACTCACTTGTATGATTCAGATTTTGCCACCTCACCTAAAGACAAAGCTGAGTTGTTTGCTAAGAACTTCTCATCAATGTCAACTCTTGGTTCCAATAGGCGCGTTCTACCTGTTATAACTGACAAACAAGTTAATCCATTGCTTGACATTTGTATCACTCCAGCTTTTGTATCTAAATTGATTTCCTTCTTGGGCTAAGGAGGAGCAGCGTTCCCCTGCATTCCCCCTACTTGAACCCCTATATATATATATATATATATATATATATATATATATATATATATATATATATATATATATATATATATATATATTTATATTTATATATATATATATATATATATTTATATTTATATATATATATATATATATATATATATATATATATATATATATATATATATATATATATATATATATATATATATATATATATATATATATATAGCTATAAAATATATAAAATAAAAAACAGTTTTTTGATGGAACTAAAAGACCATGCCTGGTGGCAATCATCAGCCATATAATTGATCAAGATAATAAAAAGTATATATCATAAAAATATTTAAATTCAGATTTTTTCAGTTAAATGTATGGCTGATTTTGTCAAATAATATACAAAACATGTTAAATGTAAATATTTTGATTTTTTTAATCTATTGTGGTGTAAATGTTAATTCTTTTAAGTGAATTGAGAAAGAAACTTGCTCCAAAAATTCTGATTATTTTATGTGTGAATTTATTGTGCACACTTGTTATATTTCTTGGATTGGTAGAACGTACAAAACCTCGTGGTTTGTGCATGGCTGTTTCTTCACTGTTGCAATTTTTCATTTTATCATCATTCTTTTGGATGGCAGTCGAAGGATTCAATTTATACAGAATGGTTGTGAAAGTATTTAACACATCTAGCTCTTACATATTTCTCCTTAAATCATCTGCATTTGGTTGGGGTATGATTTTATATTATTATTTATTTCCTAATACATTTAGTAACTTTCTAGCTTCAAATTTTTTAAGCTTAATGAACAATAAGTATATGCGAACATTGATAATATACACTTTACATATATGTATTATTATGCACATATAATGTATATATATATATATATATATACATATATATATATATATATATATATATATATAAATATATATATATATATATATATATATATATTTGTATAACGAATTTTGACAACCAATTTTTATGCGTAGTGGCTAATGAGTGGCATAGAGGTCACATTTATAAATTTTTTTTTTTTTTTTTTGATAGAAGTATTCGCGCCAATTGTTACGCTTTTTATGATTTTTGGCTAATTTTAGGGCAATTTTCAAGCATTGGTGCAAATAGATTCTGATGTCAAATCCAGTTGATTTGTTCAACAATGTTTTTTTTTTATGTGTTCCTGTACCAAAAAAAGGCACAGTGCTCATTAATTTACGAAATATATTGTGCCTATCTTACATTGATTACGATAGATAAATTAACACTTTGGCTACTGTAAAGAGATATTTGTTAATTTTTAGGCTTTTTTCCAGTCATACAACAAACTTTGTTTGTTGTTTATTTTTTAATACTGTAACTTGAGCCTTTAAAATAAACAAATCCAAATCCAAAATGGTTTTCCTTGAAAGATTTGGTAAAGGACTTTAAATCTTTTGTTGCAAATTAAACTAGATCAAAATGTATCAATGTGATTCAAAAATAAATATACATATTTTTTTGTGTGATTATTTTAAGTGCTCCAAGAAAACCTAATGATTACATCACAGAGCACCGCAGAAAAGCATTTAACTTGAAAGTTTACACTTCATGTTGCAAAAAGCCTAGAGTAGACATATAACCACATATCAGTGAAGGATCCAGCATTTTTTGTGTTTGAGATAGGTAACAGACATGGCCCAATCTCGATACATTTGTATGTCAAATAATGATGCTTTGCAAAATATTGTGATGATTGGAGCCTGGAAACTAAAAAAGCCCTAAAAATTCATTCCTCTGCCCCAAATAAAATAATTGTTAAAATAATTTTTTAGTTAATTTATATTTATTGATAAAATTTAAGTTTCATAGTAATATCTCGCAGAGTTCATAATTTATAACAATATAAAGTTTAAATGCCCCTCAATTTGAGGGGGTTACAAATTGTATATAGTCATAATTTTTGAATGCTTAGAGGTTGTAAAACAATACTTAAAATTTATCGATGAATATAAATTTAGTTAAGAGTAGCAAATAAATTATTTGATCAACTTGTTTTATGGCTTTTTTTGTTTCCAGCCTCCAAACATGGCAACTTTTTAAAAAGCATCATTTATTGATATTAGTATAAAAATACAAATATTTGAATTTTGTTCCATGTTATCTCAAACATTAAAAAATGCTGGATCAGTCACTGCCACAGATCTCTTTTTTCTGAAGCAAATTTGCTTCAGAATTCAGCGTTTAAATGCTGCAAATGTGCAATAATTATTTATAAACATATAAATTTTCAGCTTAAAACAAATATATATCAAGAAAATATATTAAAAAATTACTTTTAAATGTACTTTTAAGGTTCAGAATTTGCAGTTAGGTATTGGTTTAAAATTCAAATTATTAAAATCATTTAATAACAAAAAGCGAGAAAGCACTCACCCTTGCTACATCCTGGAATCCACTCTTCTTCTTTTTTTAATGGTTTTTTACAAGAACTCTTTATTTGAAGTAGCTTCTGAAGCTTCTCCAAGCTCATCACACGCTCTACATTATCTTGAATAAATTTTAGCTCATCACACGCTCTACATTATCTTGAATTCAATTTTTTTGTAAGCACAGAAAAATTGAATTTTTTATTACAAAATATTTTTCTTAAAACAAGAACTGCATTTCTTGTTTTAAGAAATGTAGTTCTTGTTTTTAGAAATAAATATCCTACCCTGCAATTCATTTTTAAAAACAAGAACTATATTTCTTGTTTTAAGAAATAAGTTTCTTAGATTCTGCTTAATAAATTTACACTTTTGCTGTGAGTTCTGATGTGTTGTTAGCAACTTTGAAAGTTTTTAAAAGTTTTGGAATTCATTATATTCAAAAATTTTTGAACCTCCCTTTTTTATTGAATACAGAACTTTTTACCATTTTTATATACTGATTTCTATCAAAAGATGCTAATGCAAGTACTAAACACATCTAAGGTTTTATCATGATTTGAATTTCACCTCTGCAATAGGCTCGATATACTGCCAATAATCTTGTTGATCTTAAAAGTGTAAATTAAAAATAATGCAATCTAGATGAAATAAGGTTTAAAACGACATTGCTAAATACTTATTACATTTATTTTTAACAAGATTAAATCAAAATGCTATTTCTATTGATTTCATTTTTAAAAATGGTTTTACAGTTATTTTCTTTGTATTTTGCATCTGATTTTAAACCATTTTGCATTATCTTTAGACAATTTGTTACTTTAGGACACAAATTGTTCTTAAATAATAAGATTGAAGTATAAAATACAAAGTAAATAACTCTAAAACCTTTTTTTTTTAAATGACAGTCAGTGGTAGGTCTTCGCCAATGGCGGTCACGTTTTATTAACGGTAAAAGAGAAAAAGAAAAGAAAAGATAAATATAAAAATTAAAGATAAAACCAAATTATAATAACAAGTAAATAATTTTTTGTTTTATATGCATAAATAATTTGTTAGCGGTCTTAAGATCGTCTTAAAACAAACGCATTTGAAAAGTCATACAAAAGGAAGGGAAGAAAAAAAAAAAAAGAAAAAGAAAAAGATCTTCGAATTAAAAAAAAAAAAAGGAACACTTTATAAACTTAAAAAAAAAAAAAAAAAAAAGAACGAAAAGGAAAAAAACAAATAAAATAAAAATTAAAAAGTAAAGAAAAAAAAAAAAGAAAAATTAAGTAAACTAAGACAAAAGAAAAAACAAAGAAGAAAAAGTAGTGCCAGAAGATTGTAGTGAAACTTTAGAAGAATTTAGTTTGTTTATCTTAAAATACGCTTTTAATTTAATGTAATTATTCTTATTTTTGAATATTATTATTATTATTTGTTTTCTTCTTTTCTTGTTTGTTTTCATTAATTTTTTTCTTTTTTCTTATATTGTTTATTATTATATATACTTATTATTGTTTTTATTATTGTTATTATAATAATTATTATAATAATTATTATTGCTACTAGTATTATTATTATATATCTATATAGTTTGTTAGCTTAGTTACTATAGTTTTACTTATTAACTTATTATACTAAGTATAAACTAAATAATTTATTCTTATATTTTCCACTTATTATAACTATAATAATTTACTTATAATCATTTATAATTTATTATTAATTTAATATAAATTGTTTTATTTTATACTTACAACTTATCATTTAACCAATTAAAAATTTTTTTTAATATATATTTACGTTATTCTTCTTTTACTTTATTAATAGTATTTTTTCATTATTTATTTTAACTGTTAAATATTATTTTTGTTTTACTATTTTATCAATTGAATTATATTTATATTGTTAATAAATACTATTATTATTTTTATTATTTTTGGTTATATTGCTGTTCTAGATTTGAAAAAAAGATTGCTTCAAGAAAGTTAATAAAAACCATCACTACCTTCAATTTGATCATTGCCTAAACTTTTTTCATAAAAAATCTTGTCTCTGAATGATATTGAATTTAGAATATTAAAAAACTCTAAAATATCTTGGTTCTGTATTTCATGTAGGGAAAAAAATTTTCCATTCAGTACTTTATCAGATAAGGAGTTGCACCTGCAGACAATAAATGATAAAGTGATTCATATTAATGAATTCGAAAACAACATATCATCTTTCCCAAACACCATACAGTCTAATCTTTATAATCAACTTAATGATTTTATTTCCTATCAACTTAATAACAACAATGACAATGACGTAAACCTCAAAGAAAACCCTATTAATTGTAAATATATGGACATAGAAAGTTTTAACTCTTCTAACATCGACAATAATAATTTTTCTTTTTTTCATTTAAATATTGCTTCTCTTGTTAAAAATTTTGATGAATTAAACTCACTTTTATCTCTTATTAATCATAAATTCAGTATTATTGGCATAACTGAAACTAAACTAAAAAATGACATTTTATAACTATCCCATTAAATCTTACCGGTTATGTTTATGAGCACACTCCGAAAAAATCTTATTAAATCTTAGCTCCTCCCAGCTTTACTTTATATATCGAATACATTAATTTACAAACTTCGATATGATCTTAATATGCTTAAACCAAAGCTTTTAGAATCTGTGTTTGTGGAAATCATTATTCCTAAAAAATCAAACATCATTATTGGCTGTATTTATCGCCATCCTAGTATGGATATTTCAAAATTTATTAAATCATATTTAATTCTACTTTTTGAAAAGCTATCTATGGATAAGCTATCTATGGAAAAGCTATCTATACAAAACTACTTTTTTAATAGGTGATTTTAATTTTGATCTTTTATTAGCAAACTCAGATAATTCTGTCTCCGAATTTTTAGACAATATTGCTTTAAATAACTTTCTACCCTTTATTTCATTGCCAACAAGAATCACAAATCACTCCTAAACTCTAATTGGAAACATATTTTCTAATGCAACTTCTACAAATATTTTTGCTGGTAATTTTACTTCTACGGTATCAGATCATTTGCCCTAATTTTTAATACATCCATTTTATAGAAACAAAATTAATACTCGTAAAAGCTCCATTTTTTGTCGAAATTTAAAACAAATAAATTGCATCGAATTATGTAGTGATTTCTCAAAAATTAGCTGGACTAATGTAATCAATGTCAAAGAAGGTAAGACTAATAATAAGGTACTAAGGTAAGTCATTTGAAGAGTTTTTCTCAAGTTTCAATTCTCTTTTAGATAAACATGCACCATTGAAAAAAGTCAGCAATTGATGCTT